AGCTACTGAATGAATACATTTGACTTTTTCAAGGAAAAATCTGGAAATTTCAAAGTTTTAGAAAAATACACAGAAACTGAGATTATTTTCAGAAAACTTTCTAGAGAAAACAAAATTTCAGAGATTGAAAAGTCAAAAATTTACTATTAAAAACAGAAATTTTGAGGTTAATCTTCTAGAAACAATGTTTTAGACATTTTAGAAGAAATTTCTCACTATTCAAACTCAAGTGTCTCGTTAAAATGTTCTGAGATAATTTCTGAATATTCTGGCAGAAATGTCCTCCATTTTGGCTCCATATAGACTATATAAACTGTATAAATTATATAAACTATATGAACTGTATAAATTATATAAACTGTATAAACTATATAAACTGTATAAATTATATAAACTATATAAACTATATAAACTGTATAAACTGTATAAACTATATAAACTGTATAAACTATATAAACTGTATAAACTGTATAAACTATATAAACTGTATAAATTATATAAACTATATAAACTGTATAAACTATATAAACTATATAAACTATATAAACTATATAAACTGTATAAACTATATAAACTATATAAACTGTATAAATTATATAAACTATATAAACTGTATAAACTGTATAACTATATAAACTATATAAATTATATAAATATAATTGTATAAATTATATAAACTGTATAAACTGTATAAACTGTATAAACTATATAAACTGTATAAACTATATAAACTGTATAAACTGTATAAACTATATAAACTATATAAACTGTATAAATTATATAAACTATATAAACTGTCTCTGTTTGAGGATCTTAAATATTTAAATTTGACAAAAACAAAAACAAATCACCAAAAACAAAGTTTTAATGTCTATTAAAACAGTGCAGTGCTTTATTTTGCTTTGTTGTGTAACTTTGCTCCATGTCTGCCCCCCTCATGGCCTTCAGGTCCAAATCACACAGAACCCGCCGGTTCTGCTGCCAACCTCCACCGTCTGCTCCGGCTTCGTGACTGGCGTACGAACTAACAACCTGTGTGTGGAAACACAAACGTCCAGTAAATGTGTGTGCAGCCTACAGTACGGTCAGCATGAATTACAGGTGTGTGTGTTTGTGAGTTTACATCTGTTGCGTTTGGCACCAGATGACAGAAGCGGCTCCTGCAGGAAAGAGTCCAAAGATTCACAAAGGAACTCAGATTTCACTAAAGACATGCAAACGCTAGGAAGAAGCAACAATAACTGGATGTTTTTATTCCAATCATGACATCATTTACAGTTTAGTAAAACTAATCTAACAAGACTAAAAATATTCTAACAGGCAGTGGCGCCCCTAAGAGGGGGGACAGCGGGGCCATGGCCCCCCAGAAAATCACACCCATTTTGCACAAAAGCATAAAGAGTCATGTTCTTCATTCAAGACATAAAATTAAAAGCGAATAAATAAATGCATGTAATATATTGACTTATTGGTTATATTGGTAGGGTCGTTATATTTTAATATAAATGATGAGTCAGTTTGTTTCAGGGATTTTATCTATGAGAAGCAAATTGTATCGATTTATTGCACAAAGATGTTTGAAAGATTTCATTTAACTGATGATTTTCCACTGATGACATTTATAATTATGTTACATCAGAACATTAAAAAACAATGTTTTGAAACAGAAATGCAGTTAGCATATACTTTTAATCTGACAATGAACTTCATCAGTCATTTTTACATACAATTCAAAAATAAATAAAAAATACACAATACTGACAAAAACAAGGCGAAACTAACAGAAATGGAATTTACACTGTAATTTATTATATATGTTTATAGAAAGTGGTGTAACTCAAGCTGAGCTGTGAAACATTTTCCAACCTAATATTACAGTTTTCATTTATAAACTGCTATTTTCAGCAATGATACATACAGCTTTTCTATTTTTCCTGCCCTGTCGTGTTTTTGTTCTTTATATTGTGGAAAAACTTCATGTAGCTCTGATTTTATTACAGAAGCAGCGTTATTTATTTTCCTCAAAGTGTCACAGCAGAGGAATGTGCGCCGCATCGACGGTCCACCTTAAATCATAGAAAGTGAATCTCTGGCAGGCCAATTACTGCCTGTCCTTGTGAGTTTACTCATATACACAAAGTGAATCACGTTGCCATGTCAGCGCCAGAATCCTGAATTATATCACCCCCTCTCTTCAGTTATGTCAAAAAAACTAAATGTTCATCAGGAATTTCTTTAATTTTAAAACTACACATTTAATTTATGATAAGAATATTTTTAGATCATGATTTTATTCTCCTTTTTTTCCTGAGAGATTTCCTCACAGACAATTTGAGGTTCACCAGTGGTGGACTCTGCTTGCTAAAGATTTAGCTGTGCTAACCATGAAGAATTATACTAGCATTGTTTTTAACAGAGGCTAATGCTAAAGGCCAAAGTCAGCTAAATACAATTTCTTTACCATTCTCATTTTCAGTTTGAGCAACACCATTATTGGGAACAACTAACAAATTTTTTTAGCTGCGCTAACCCTAAATGCTAACTATGAATGTTAGTTCTGCTAATGCTAATATGCTATACCAATTTGGTATTTAGTGGAAGCTAATGCTAAAGCACAAAGTCACATAAATCCTCTTTAATCATCATTTTGATTCTCAATTTGAGCTTTAGCAGTGGTTAGCATCGCTAACTAAAAGCTAGCAGCATAAACCCAGAAGCGCTAATCATAAACAGTTGCATGAATATGAACATCTACATACTTGAAGAGTTGATAAATAAAACTTCAACAACTTTATTCAACCAAAATTTTAGAAAACAGCCAAGAAAATGACAAGTTTAGAATTTGCCATAAAAATACATTGAGGGCAAGCTAAGTGCGCTAAACGTAAGTTAGAAAAAAGAGCTGAATTAGCTCCACCATCAGCAGTCTAGCTCACAGTGGAGCTAATACAGTTTGTGAAATGATAAAGTACCTTTCAGTGCACCACAAATAAAACATGCTGAAGTTCTGTTATTGGGTTTTCTAAAAGGTCCAAAGTTAATTAGGAACCAGGAAACATTTTCACCTTTCTGTGCATCCAGGTGTTTGGAATCAGAGTAAATGTAGCTGCCAGTCCGGCTAACTGCAGCCTCCTGCACATTGTTGTCCCTTTTGTGTCCGATATGTCATCGTTTTGAGCAGCAGCCCTTGACCCGCTGCCACTGGGGCGACGCTAAATGTCAGCAGTGCTGTCCGGGGCCGACGGCCCCGAGGGACAACAGAGGACATGCTGCATGTTTGCTGATGAACAGAATCTCCGCAGGTTCTGCTAATGGCCCTGTGACGTTTCTCCTGAGTGTCCTGCAGTGGATGGGTTGTGCTTTCAGGGTGTCAGGTCTCTGTTGTTTATGTCAAAGGAATTATGATGAGTTTCATTGTAAAAATGCCCTTTTACTCTTCCTTGAACAGCTAAGGAGGAACCGGAGCCTCCTGAACAACCCAGAACGCAGCAAATGGTTTCTGGATGACAAGTCAACTACAAAACGCTCATCTCTTCAGCAGCCATTATGCAGCAGTAAAATAAGCTGACAGAACGTGCTGCAGCTCGGTTGCTAGGTGACAGGGCTACTAGGGTTGCTAAGTAGCGACAAAGAGCTTGTCAAAGTTTTGGGCTTGGCTCATTTTCCAGACACCAAAAAATCATAAACTTATTGCCAACAAAGCGGCTGGGTGTTTTTTTAAGTGCTTGGTCTGTTTTTAGAAGCAGTTGAGACCCAAATGGAAACACAAAAATGTGCCAAGTGTGAATTTATCAGAACAGGTTCCCTTTAATGGTGGTCAAATGGTGACACTTCTTATTTATTATATTCTTGTGCATAAAAAAGTATTACTTTATCTGTTTACAGATGTTTTCAGTTCACCTACAAACAAATTAGATATCATAAGTGTAAGGAAATGAATGTTTATTCTGTTGACTAGATGATCTGAAATATTTAGTATAACATCAATAAAATAGTGACCTGACTCACTATTTGGCAAGAAGCCAGTAGATTTAGTCACTTTTTCAGCCTTAATTAACACATAATAAACAGTTATTATTGTTTTACACCGTGTTTACAGATGAGTTATATCTATGAACATGTTGGATCATGTGTTCAATGAAAAACATTCTTGCTCTGTTTACTTCTGAGTCGGGAATAAAAACACAACATTTTGCTGATTTTAGCTTTTAAAAATGGGATTTTTTTGTACTTGTGAGCTGATGCAACTAGTGAGTCTGACTAGGAGGAATTTCTGTGGCTTCTTTCCAGAGTGGGACTGTTTTAACTGCGACACTCTCCGAAACATTCATCACAGCGCTTGTTTTTGTTTCGCTCCTCTGACTGTGAGCAAACTTATTTAAAAGTTTAACAGGGAAATCTGCCTCCAGCAGCAACACCATCTGCCGTCTGCACCTGGCGTCCGAGTCGTCCGCCGAGTCTGCAATCAAATTAACAACACACTCCAAGACTGCAGCTGTTTTCAAACTACATCCCTCTGTTTCCGTCTGCCGACCCCAGCAGACGCACAATCCGAGCCGGCCGACAGCATCTGGGTCTGGGATCGGGCCGATTATTCTGCCTGACTCAGACAGAAAGAAAGATCCGTTTCTAGAGAAAAACATTGACATTCTTGTGCTTGAGAAGTTGTAAATGTGCAAGAAAATCTGAGATTTGTGATAAATTTCACTTGATTTTTTGATTTTTATGTCTGGGACTAATTTTGCGCGGCCCCCAACTACAATTAAGAAATTATACAAATTTGATCTAGAGGCTCAGATGGAAAGTTTTTATTTGTGAGCAGTGTAAATTTATTCAACATTATTTTCCTGTAAAATCTTTTTTTAACTGAGTTTTAACAAAAGGTTTTTTCATCCTCAGAAAAAACGACGTTGCTGCATCAGAATCAGTTTTTATTCTTCCGTAACTCAGTTAATGTAACCAGCAATTTTATGGGATGTTTGTAGAAAAATTACGGGGATGAAAAAAGCCCAAAATATTATTACTCTGCAAAAACAATTATTCTATGAAAAGAACTTAAAAAATACCTGCTAAAATTGCTGTTGGTATCAAATCTATAAAAACACTAAAAAAAGTGACCTGAAGTAATCCTGTAAGCATTTTATTTTATTTTTTTACATGATGTCTCATAATAACCACTCATAAATCTGGTTTATGTTAACCTCCAGGTTTTAATTTGGACTGTTATAATTTCTCCAAACGCTGACTCGGTGGTAAACGCACACGGCTCTGACATATGAGCAGAAATCCAGAGTTAAATGTAATTAAAGTTTAACGCCTCATGTCTGTTGAACATGCAGTATTTCTGCCTGCTGCACGGAGCCATCAGCATCAGCGCAGCGCTGTTCAGCCTGATGCCTGATTGGTTTGTGGCGGCGCTAGCTGCGTAGATATTTATTGTCCAGATTCTTGCTACCAAAGCTTAAAATTCCTGCATCTGACATGTATTTTTTGTTTTATTTGTGCTTTAAAGGCTCTTCTGGCTCTTTTTATGCTCCAGTGCTTATCATGGGAAAACATGTTTGCAGCATTAAATGTTTTTAAATAGAAAACTAATATATTTTAACGCTGATATCAAAGTTATAGCCTATATAACCTAAACTAAATTAAAACAGTTTTTTCCCACTGATGCTTCCAGCCTGAAGCTCAGAAAATTATGGAAGCATAAATACAATAACTTAAAACATAATTTACAGCTCTAGAATCATTTTTTGTCTTCCAACTTTGAATTGCATCACCGGATAGAAAACTGGCAATGAGTCCATTGGGTAATAAATGGCCAAATCTATAGATAATCAATGATCTTCCTTCTGATTGGTCAGACATGAATCCTGTAGGAAACCTGAAGAGTGAAACAAAATGAGTGAAGATAAAATCAACTCCTGACTGTCATCAGTTGCTTTTGCTAATAACAACCCAGATTCATGTCAGGCACCACAGGTTCTGCTAAATATTCATCCATCAGACTATGAAGTAATTAAATGTCGAGCAGAAACCTTCTGCACTGATTTTTTTTATTAATAATTCAGAAAAACGGTGGGACAGATTTATCCCGGAGGACAGTTTCTGAACGAAACAGATTTTTGTTAATAAGTGATTAATGTGAGATCTGAGCTGCTTGATTGAAGACACAGCAATAACTGCAGACTTTATTAAACCTGGAAAACACACCATTTATTCAATAAGCATGGCCGCATCCAGAGGGGGGCTGGAGAGGGAGAGGCCCCTCTCCTTTAAGGCTTGACTCTTTATGGATTCTTTCTTTTAAGTTCAATCATTTTCTATAAACAGGAATTACACTTAAAGGCAGCCATTTTGTTGCTCACTAAAGTGAAATTTTCTATTTGTTTTTAATGATTATGAATTTTTTTAATTGTTAATGAGCTTCATCAGCTTAACAAAAATATACCAGGAAGTTTTTAGAACACCGTTTGCTTTCCTGAAACTTTCATGAAACGTCCAGATACTTCTGAGAAATTACCGGATACTTTCTTAAAACTTTTGCTGGATACTTTTCAGAACGTAGCAGAAGGTTTTCTGAAACTAAAAATCTTAGCAGGCAAATCTTCTGGCACTTTCTAAACTCTTAATGGGATTTAGCAGAAAGTTTCCTTATATTTTCTATGTAACTCATCAAGCTTGCTATCATAGATTTTACCCACAACTTTCCTGGGAATCTTCTGGAACTGCAACCTTCTAAACGTTTCATGAAACATACCAGGCAGTTTCCAAACATTTCTGGGAATTTATCAGGAACTTCCCAGAATTTTCCAGACGTTTCCTGGAACCGATGTGGAAATTACCTTCTGTTTGATTTCCTTTTGTAAATGAATAGTTAAAGTTTCAGAATGAATCTGGATTCGCTGACTGTTTGCAGGGAAATAATAAAACCTTTTCAGCCCAAATATGTAAAACCTGAAGTAGGAACTCGGCTGTTTTCTGCAGATTTCTCCTTTAAGCTGCTGCAGCATCGTGGACTGGCTGGACTCTGTCACTTTGCTTCTCACAGAAGGATTACAGGACGAGTTTCTGACAAAGAAGAAATCCTCAAGAGATACAATAAAAAAGACAAGATCTCACCTAATTTAATGGAGAAATGCTCTCTGAGGAAAAACTGTCAGATTAAATCCTGCTGTGAGAAAAGCTGACAAGTCAAGCTCAGATTTAATATTCCTGCTTCCTGCCAATGTTTATGAGCCGATTTACCTCTGAGGCCATTTAAACTGCATCGACTTCCAGTCCGCTCTGTGAAACAGAACATCAGGGGGAAAAGAGGCAATCGTTCCTCAGCACACAGAAAGCTCTGAATTTAATCTTCCAGAAGTTTTCACACCTCGAACTGCGCTGCGATCACAACGAGACACGAAGCAGCGTCAGTGAGAAATGACAGAAAAACAGAAATCATAACGGATTAGATTCAGAGTGGTTGAAAATCAGGAGTTGAAGATTCACAATTAGATTTAGGTCTGGACTTTGACTGGGACATTCTGTGCTTTATAAAAACCAGCAGCATCAAACCCGATCCCAGAGAGACCAGGGCTGAAAACATGGACTGGGTCATGTGTGTTAGTCATCAATATGAAATTAATATTTAGCCTCAAAGTAAGCATTTACTCAGTTAACTAAATATGTAGCTTCCGAACATTTGCTTAGAAAGCTAAATATTTAGTGTCAAGCTAAATATTTGGCCCAAAACTGAATATTTAGTCTTTAACTAAATATCATGTTAGTAGATGAGAGCTAAATTTAGCTGGTATGCTAATTTATTAGCCAGGAAGCAGACATGGCCTACCAAAATAAAAGCTGTGTTTTCCGAATCTCAAACCGCTTCACATTGCCTCTTTATTTTATTTTATTCTTTTCTTCTGCTTTTGGTCTTTAACAATGGAAGAGCTCATCTGAAGTGACTCTAAGCTTAGCATTTATAAACAACGCTGAGGTCAAAGGTTAATTCAGAAGCGACAGCCTGCTGCTTCCAGTCCAAAACCAGTTTGTGTTGGGATGATTGTTGTCCCACAGCATGATGCTGCCACTGCTACGGATGACAATTGGTTAATTTTGGTTTTTAAAATAAAAGCCACAAAGTTGCTAGTTGAATTTTATTGTTTGAAACTGACATTTAAAAATGAACGGATAAAAATAAACCTCCATTAGAATAGTTTTACTAAAGACCCAAATTATTGCTGCTGATTGTTGTGTATTTTGCAAACAGCAAAGATTTGAGCTGAAAGCTTTAATATTCAACGATGAAGCTGCTCGTCTTCCTCTCTGTGTGCAGCAGCTGCAGATTCTAAACTGTGTTTCATTTTCTGGATTATCCATTTTGTTCTTGTCATTTGGGTCACGGTTCTGAGACCCGGTTCTGTTGTTGCAAACGTCTCACATGATTCATGATTCCTCGAACGTCTCAGGATCAAAGTTTCTCCTCTGGCGTTTTCTCTGTGTCACGTTCAAACAATCAGCAGCGCTACAGTTCTCCACATTTCAGATCAAAGAAGCGACTGAACTGACGGATGAATGCAACAAACGAGTTTATTTGGTTACAATGGAAGAACAGAGACGAGGCGCGGAGCTCAGGAACGTTTCAGAAGCCTGGAAATCTGAAAGAGCTTCATGGAAATACTCAGATTCACAGATGAACTTGCTTTTTCTGTGCAGTTTATGATGCATAGCAGCACTTTTCATGATTCTTCCCTCATCTTGCTGCCTTTGATTCAGTCTCAGGTTATATTAAGCAAAGAACGCTTTTACTTTTTCTGCATTTAATATACACCACTGCAGCCCAGCATGTGATCATTTCACCTGATAACTTTTTTTTAAAGTCAGGTTGTTTTGAACAAGTGTTTGTGTTTGTGTGTCCTCTGGCTGCATTAATTAATAAACCGTAAAAAGGGAAACATGTGCATATTGTATCGTAAGAATACAGGAATAAAGCCATGTTGACAGCTTTTAAAGCTCGTGGCAAATTAGGTTTCTCATCTGTTCTTCTGGTTTAATTTCTACTGTTGTTAATAATAAATGAGACAGAACAGGCTTCTGGAAAAGCAAGATAAAATTGTGCTTTGTAATCACTCCCAAGGCATCGCATGCTGTCTGAAAGCCTGGAGAAGTTTCTGCTTTCAGGTCCAAACAAAGGTGTTAGCTAACTGAGCTCACAACAAAACTTCAAATGTTTTGGTTTCTCAAACAGATTCACACATTTATTTGACTAATAATCTGAAAGAAAAACTTAAAAAATACTTCACCCTTTCCTAAGTAGCTTTTGTAGTAAAATTACATAAATGAATGCCTTTAAGATGAGAACTTTAAGGTCAAATTTAAATCCTGCAGGAAGGTTTTACACTGCAAAAACTCAAAATTATATCAAGTAATTTTGGTTGAGTTTCTGGTGCAAATATCTTAGTACACTTGAGATCAGATAAAATGAACTTTTCATCAATATGCAGGAGCTTGTTTTAATTAAATGATTCATTAATACTGATGAAAAATGCCAGTTTCATTGTTAGATAATTTCACATATATTTTTCCCATCTTATAAGTAAAATAATGTGTCAGTGGAACTCAACCTTTTTCCACAATTTTAAGAAATAATTGTCTCAAAACAAGCTCCTACATTTGCTGAGAAGTTATTTATGAGTTAATTTGTCTTATTTCAGGAGTACTAAGATATTTGCACCAAAGCTAAACAAAAATTCTCTGTAAGATTCTGTGTCTTTGCAGTGTAGACATTAAATGATGCTTCCTTTCCTGTTTTGACAGTTGATGGTCAAACTGTCCAGAAACTTCCACAATAACAAGCAATTAAAGGTTTTATTCCCTAAAAATGTGTTGTGAAAAGTGAGTGAGATGATTTTATCAACCACGGTGTAAAATGCACGCTCAGCATTCTGACATGTTGACACTTTGGAAAAATTGGGCGTGTCCAATAGTAAGGATTTACATTTACTAAATTGAAAAATCTACTTTTGGGACTATTTTTACTGTCTACTTTTACTTGAGTAAAAACATGTTGCAGTAGTTCTACTGTTGCTTCTGCACAGTGTTTGGGTTCTCTGTCCAGGCCTGCCTGGCGGCCATATTGACGTGTTTTTCTCCAGTTTCAAAGTGTAAAGATGACAAAGTCATTCTGCTCAGAGTTTAATGCCTTGAGAGTGAGGATGGTGGGTTAACCTGCTGATACTGAAGCTGGAAGGAAGGAGAAGTCAGAGCGTTTAAGTTGACGTGGAGGTTGATGTGGTGGTTTTCTTCCTTATCATCCTGCGTCCCTGGCGCTGGACTGGACCTGGACCCGGAGCCGGAGCCGGGCCTGGACCCGGAGCCGGCGCCGGAGCCGGACCCGCTCCAGTGTTACCGGCTCGACTGGCCTTCACTTCGTCGATGAAGCTTTCTATGGCGGTGAACTTCTCCGTCAGGTCGCCGAGGCGCTCCTTCAGGGCGTTGAACTCCTTGTAGAGGTCGTCTAAGGCCTCAGACAGCGGGTTGATCCTGAGGCAGGAAAGAGATTTTTACTCCAGTCAGGTTTATTTATGCAGCAGCCAGTCAGTCCAAAGTGATTTATGTCAGAAAAACACAGAAAACTCTCAATAAACATTACATTTTCTCAAATGAAATAATCAAAACCATCAAGTGTGTGGGTTTTAGAAAGTGAGTGTTTTGAAGTAATTTTACATGAAGAAAATCATTTAATAGCGACTGACTCAGAGGAGCTGAAACAGAAGTACACCACACTTTTCAGATTTTCTTGAGGAAAGACTGGTGGATCATTTCTTCCTGCTTCAAAATGCTGGTTTATTTTATAAAATCATAATAAAACACGATGGAGGTGTTTTATTATTATTTATTATCAAGGACTTCTTGCTTTAAAATTATACATTAAAATCAAACATGCTAAAGTAGTTTGTGCTCATTATTGTAATTTCTTTCAGTTTTTTTCCATCTGTCAGAATTTTTTATGGAGATTTGTGTGTTTTCGGGGATGTTCGCTGTTATTTAAGCACTTTGCTGAAGATGTTTATTTTGTTTTGTGCAGCATGCTTTAGGAACAGATGGCTCACAGATTATTGGTTCTTTCTGCGGTTTGATCATTTATTTTTCCTTAAGTCTTGGACCGCACATGTTGGGTTGCTTAGTCACAGTAAATTGTCATTACATGCGAGTGTTTATGGACAACCTGACCACCAAATGACATGTTCTTACAACTACTCTTTTTATTTCCTTAGTCTGGCCCAGACCAGCTTGCAGAATTATTGGTGTGGGAGAAGAAAAGAAAGAATTTCTCATATTTTGAAATGAGTTCTCTGGTGTTTAAAAGTTTCATTTTTGGACCGAACTGAAGCAGCAGAACTCCGTGGAAAACTCCTGCTTGCTTCTGTTTTGACATTTAAGTCACATTTTGATTTGCTGCTCCTTATGACGACATCGGCTGCAGGAAATAAATGAAAACTTCACTTTCAACCACAAGAGAAACCAAATTCCTGTGGCGTATCTCAGAGACTTTGCTGGTTTATTTGAGTCTGCTCTTTCAAAATACAGACAAGAACCAAAACTCAACACAAGGCCAATATTTTCTCACATAAATTTAAAATATGTTTCTCTAATTTAATCCTGAGTGTTTAGTTTAAGGACAGCTGGACTCCCTCTCTGTTCAGCTCAACATTTGGGTTTTTGTCCCCAGATAAAAAACAAAACAGAACTCGAAACAACTACAGTAATTACAAACTGAACAAAAATAATGAAAGGAAAAAGAAGACATTAATGTCATGATTTGTTTCTCATCTAATAATTACATTAATTTTGTTTCTTCCAGTAATTTCTCTCCCAGGCATAAATATTCCTCATTTGAGTCAGAAATTCTCAGATCTTCTGGTTTTCTCTGTTAGTTTTTAACTTTTTGTTTATCCTTGTTTGTTTTGTTTAAATTTGCATGAAAACAAGAAAAACAAGAAATCTGGATAAAACCTCGACATCAGGCCAACATTTTTATAGAAAAGATTAAAATATTTTCCAGTTTAATCCTAAGTGCTTCAGTACAAAACAGCTGGATGTTTGTGTTTGTTTTTCAAAGTTACAAAGCAGCTTGATTTATTTTACATAATTATTCACATTTTTGTTCAAATAAATATACAAAAAACATTTTTAGTTTTTTGTTAAAAGTTGCATATTGCAGGTTTAGTCTGAGCCGGGCTCCTACCTGCTGTAGTCGGGCAGCAGAGTCTGATGGTCGTTCTGCAGGAGACTCTTCATCTGGGTCAGGATGTCGAACCGCCAGTCGTCCAGAACCTGGGTCAGGTTGGCCACGCCCCGCATGCTGACCCGCTCCGCTGAGACAGGAAACACAAAAAACTGAAAACTTACACTAAGAAAAATGATTTAAAACTGTTATTAATCCGGTATTTGAGGAAACTACTAGAGCAAAACTACTTGGTAAGATTTTGTGACTTTACAGTTTATTGGGGAAGATCTGTTTGTTTTGGTGGAGTCAGACAGTAATGTGAAGCCGCTCACCTCCATCTCTGTAGTTCCATTCATTGTTGGTTTTGGTCGTTGGGCGTCGCTTCTGGGCCGCCGCCAGAACCGTCATGGCGGCCAGAACCAGCAGCAGCGCGCTCAGTTTGAAGGTCATTATGAGGTCGGCGCCTGGAGAGAGAGACGAGATTTCATCCTGTTTCCAGCTTCAACACTGGTTGGTAAAACTCATCCACACTTTTTAAACAACGCTGAGGTCAAAGGTTAATTCAGAAGCATTAGCCTCCTGTTTCCAGTCTAAAACCAGGTTGTATTGGGATGATTGTTGTCCCACGGCATGATGCTGTCACTGCCATGGTTGACAGTAGGTGCAGTGTTTTTAGTTTCTCCAGAAGACATTTGCTTTGTTCCTGTTTAGTTTAAAGGTGTTAAACTTTGACACATTTCACTTCTGGATTAACCTGATTGTTCTGATTCCAGGAAGAAACATTTTAATGGAGGCAGAGCAGCAGTTTAATCTGACCAAATCCAAACCTTTGATGTTTCTACATGCATCATCATCATCATCATCATCATCATCATCATCATCATCATCATCATCATCAGTCCACAGCTGCACGCATCAGTTTGTTTTCTGCTTTATTTTCTTGAATTCATGCAACTTTTAAAAGATGAGTTTTGCACCAAACTGCTCCATTCAGGTGTCTGCAGGGATTTTCTCTGCTTGAAAGAGTTTGTGTGGCTACAAATCCAAAGAAAAGAAATTTAATTCCTTGTTCTATACACTTCAGAGGCTTTCGGAGGTTAGAAAGAGGCAAAAGCCTCAGGGCTGAAAAACTCTCAGCCTCTGGAGTCGGAGAGCTGATGCACAAACCTGAACTGATTGGAAATTTCAGAAAGGAGCTGCAGAGGCATGTTGGGGAAAAACTGCACCTTCATGTCAGGATTTATTCAAGATGTGCCAACAATAATACACAGAAGCAGCAGCAGACTAAAAAAAGCTTGTGTGCTGGAGAAGAGAAAGCTACAAATGACTGAAGTTAAACACATTTCTGAGGACAATAACATGAAAATCTTCTTTGAATCTCTAAAGGCAGAATGAATAAAAGACAGATATTTATAAGATATGTGCAAAAAAATCTCAGAAAATAAATCTAATAGAAAATTTCTTGTTTTTTTTCTGAAAGTTTAAGAATTCCCACATTGTAACATCCTCATTTATTCACAAACATTTTTATCTTATGGTGGGTCGGGTTGCCATGCAATGTCAGTAACAGATTAGCTCTTTAAAAACGGGAAAATATTTTTTTCTGAATTTATTAATATCACTACAGGCAGTAAAGGACGATGAAGAAGAGAGAAAAGACATGGAAGAGAAAAAACAAACTACAAACAAAACTAAAATAAAAATCATTATTATTTTGTTCATTTTATCTTCTGACCATTTAAAAAGGTGAAGGAAAAGATTAAGAGTTCAACTAAATCAGAGGAACATTTAAACGGAACAAAATATGTTACAGTTCCATTTCCTGTTTCAAAATAAAAGCTATTCCTGCCAGTTTTAAAAAAGGCATTTCAATAAATCATGTGAAACTGGTAAGTTGGAATCTGTATAAACTGATGATTCATTTATTTTCTATTAAATCTTTTACTGTTTTTCACCAAAATATTTTTCAACACAATTGTTTGAATTTTTCTTCCCAGTTTATTTATAATATCTTCCAGTAATTTCCCCATCCAAGCATCAATATGTCTCAGATCAGCCAGTCATTGTCAGATCCTCTGCTGTGTGTAAAGATCCAGTTTTTTGTTCCTCTGTGTTGCAAACTTTATTAAAATCCCTGTTCACTATGATAACACCACCAGGCCAAAGGTCAAGGGCAAAAATGACCAAAGACACAGTATGAATGCTTCTTCTTAAGAATACTTCATTATTTTACTGAAAACATTTTCCCCATGTTACTGATGAAACTAGTGCTAAGTCACTTTTATCTTATTTCAAATGTACAAAGATTTTTAAATTAGAAACTAGAGCAAAAATACTTGGTAATTTTATGTGTTTTCTTCGCTTGTTGTTTGTCATTTTAAATCCCAAAGTTTTTGGTTGCAACAAGAAAAAGTTCAGTTTATTAACAAATCCTCAAATATTCAGATCATCTGTAAATAAGCAGCATAAGAAACAAAGACGAATTACACAAATTATTTGAGGTTAAATTCTTGTAAAATCTCTGTCTGAACCAAACAAATTTTAATATAAAATAAAGAATAACTTTCCTGGTTCACTTTCAGGTCTAAATAAAGCAATAAAATGATAGATCAGTTCCCCTTTAGGGTTTTTCTGAGTCAAACTTCTGTAAAATATTAAAATTATCGATCAGTACCTTTTGTTCTGCAGCTCCTCTACACTGGGGCTTCCCGTTCGCTCTAACTGAACTCAGTGATCAGCATGCAGAAAGAGCTGGAAAAAGACAGGCAGAAGAAACACACACATTCCTGCAGCTTGCAGACATGCATGCATATGCAATACACACAGAGAGAGAGAGAGAGAAAGAGAGAGAGAAATGTAAACTCTCACTTTCAAGCACATTCACACGGCATGTACCCGTTCCCCCATCATTATGGAGGCCCAGTGGTCAGCAGTGTGGTTTGGGTCGGAGGCAAACCTCCAGCACCTTGGTTTATTTTATATTTGTGTGTGTGTGTGTGTGTGTGTGTGTGTGTGTGTGTGTGTGTGTGTGTGTGTGTGTGTGTGTGTGTGTGTGTGTGTGTGTGTGTGTGTGTGTGTGTGGGTGTGTGTGGGTGCGTGTGTATGTGTGTGTTCTTTACTTTAAACCTCTGGGTGAAGTCAAGTCGTTCATGATTAACTCATGAGATCATTTTGGTGAAGCTCAAAATGATCTTCATCGTCTGTTGTTGAAAGATTGAAACAGGCAGAATCTCTTTCATTCAGCAGCGAGAAATGGAAATAACAGGCATCACAAGAGGAAACTGGATTAGGAAAAACATTTTGCCTCATTTTGAACATGAATCAGAGCTGCTGCAGAAGATGAAGGACCAGGCATTTTTGTTATTCTTTGATGAAATGTTACATTTTATTATTTTAGTAAGAGAAAAATGGATCTGTTCTCTTTGGTGTCTTTAGACGTCCAACACAGGGACAGTTGCTGTTATAAGCTATTTGGTTTATTGTTTTGTATCTGAATAAATCGTTCCCACACACACTTCTATGTGTAATCTCTAACTCTGAATAAGTCCCTTTTAAATCAATAAAATGTGAAAACATATTTTGCTAATAGCTTGTTTCCGTAATTAGCAATTATCAAGTTAATTTGCATTAATATTCACTTTATCCCTGGTCTGTATTTGTTTAAATAAAAAATAAATATGCTCAAATTAATTGTGTTCACATCCAACGTTATGTAACTGGCACTTAATAGAAATGAAAATTGTATTAATAAATACAGGTTTATTAACAGCTGAGTTTGTTGGTGAAAAAATACAAGTGAAAAAATGAGTAAATAATTATTTAAAACTTAAACTTCTGTATTGAAATATATTTTATTATTTCAGTAAATAATTATTTCACTTTTCCATTGCTACAATCCATCCTTACAAAACCTTTCACCGTCGCTGTGGCCGCTGAAAAAGAACGTAGCATCTGATTGGTTAACCTGCACAGCAGCTTAACTGTGAACCAATCACTTTTTTCGTAGCAGTGTTAGGCCCGCCTACTGAAATTTATTGATAGAATTTAAAAATTAAATAAATTCACAATATGCTGCAGCACTGGACTATGAAGAAGTAAAACAATACGCAGTTTAATGTCCTTTACAAACCAAACAAAACAAATTATTTTACGTTATTAGTTACCGAAGACGCACGCTAACTCTCCTCTTTCCGGTCTACGTCGTTGCTAGGTAACAGCTCCTAGGCATTCCGTCTCGTCTCCGTTATAGGAGCTAGCGTAAATGCTATGATAAACAGCTACAGTTTACGGAGAAAAACGACCAGTTTGTGTTTCTAAAACGCTTCTTTCTGGGAGCCATGACAGCGATTAAAGATGGGGAATACACGGCGACCATCTACACACTGGTGAGAAGCTCGTTGTTTGGATAGAAGTTAGTTTCTCAGGTCAACGGCTACAATGGCTAAAGCCAGACCAAACTCCGTTTAGATTTGTTCTTAATTTAGTGTACGTCCGTAACTGAAAAGGGGAACGCAACTTAGTTACGCTTTTTCAATCATAACTATCATCTCTGTAATTCGGCATACAAATTTGAAATAAATATGTTCCACCGTATGTTCAAATACAAGATGTTTTTCTTTCATTAATTTAATAGTTTGTTAAAGTGTGTTGATAGATATTACATCTCTGCTTATTTGACCTGTTTTAGATTAAAGACGGACAATATGTGGAGGCAATTCACATTCTAAACGGCCAACTTCAGAAACACACCAAGGTAAGAAGCTGAGTGATCCGTCATAATATCCAGGGATGTAAAAGCAAACTGAGCCACTATACTGTCAGTTTAAAGTCTATAATTAACTTCAATATATTCATCAAACAAACAGAATTCTGACAACGCCAGATGCATCGGACTACTGTTTTATTCAGTTTGTTTGTCATGTGTCTGTCCCTATCAAATAAACCTAATAACATTTTTAATAAATTGCAATTAATATTAAAAAGTCTTGTCTGTTAGTCTGTTCTATCCAGAAATCCTTACGTGGCAGTTTTATATTCATATGGTTCAAATTCTGTAAAATAAATAAATAAAATCTACTAAGAACCTTTTTCGATCTAATTATTAATTAGTTAATCCAAAAATAACCAATACATCATTCCTATGTATCGTTTGAGCAAGCTTTTTCTAACGTTTCACACTACAAAATAAGTAATAACTCATAGTAGTAACTATGAATTATTTGGGCTGATGTCGGGTTAATGTCTGTATTGGCCAATGCTCAAAACTGCAATATGAGTATTGTATCGGAAGTGAAAAAGTTTCACCCCTAGAGAGGTTGTTGGATCCGAAGGTGAGGGTTAAACAAAGTAAAAGACGCCTCAAAGTTAGTTTTAGTTTTCACTTCAACATCAGACCTGAAAGCCGATCAGACTGGAGCTGCTCAGGGTTTCTGCAGCTGAGTTTTATATTAACTGGAGCTAATCTCTTCTTTGGAGGGCAGAGAGCAAAACATTACAGTCATCAGTTTGGCAGGTTGTGCATTTTATGCATCTCTGGATCAGAACCGGGTCATACTCTGGAAATATTATTTAGAGAATAAAACACTTTGTTCCTTACATTTTACTGTGATGTAAGAAATTCAGATTTTTGTCAAATATAACCCAGCTGTGAGTTTCTTTTCCAGTTTTTTAGGATTATTTAACCTGCATTCTGTTGTTTTTATGTTAAAACTTCCGGTTGGAGTAACTCCGTGTGTTTGTGTGTCTCAGTCCAGAGCGGCGCTGTCCCTGCTGGGGTTCTGCTACTACCACATCCAGGACTTCAGCAGCGCCGCGGAGTGCTACGAGCAGCTCACCCAGCTGCACCCGGAGGTGGAGGAGTACAAGCTGTACTACGCCCAGTCGCTGTACAAAGCCGGCGCTTACTCTGAGGCCACCAAGGCCTCGTTTGTCCTGGACAACCCCAGCAGCCACACCAAGGTGCCACATGTTTGATCCAATCCTGATGTTTAATCGAGGCAAAGCTCTGAGCTGCCGGCGCAGACTTTAGACCAAAACAGAATATGTTTAAGAACGGTAATAAAAGAAGAGATAAGAAAAGCATCCAGATAATTGTGTTCAAGTTTTTCTACCAAAATATGGAAAGAGTCTTTATGTCTCTTTCAATATTTTGGAAGTTCCATGAATGATCAGAAGTTTTAAAAGCACTAAATGGTCAAATGACCTAAATAACAAATTAAAACAATCAATATCTTTGTTGTTGAGCTTATATGAATATTTATTCAGTAATTTAACAGAAAACATTTTCTCATTAATTCTGGTCTAGTTTCTTAGCAAATTTGAAATAAAGCGAAATTATCTCACAAGTAACATTACAGCAAGAAATAGGAGATTGTGTTTCATCAATAATTCATTAATATTGATGAAAAATTACAGTGAAAAAGATATGCATCCACCCATCCCTCTGTGAGACAGACGGAGGGATGGATGGATGGACATAAATTATTTCATGTTCCTTTGCTGAAGAACACCATGGAGTAATTTACAGTGTCCAATCTTCACCCATCATCAGGTTGAATTTCCAATCTGTTGTTGACTTGCTGTTTGAAGCAGCCAATCAGACACCAAGGTCTTCATAGAAACAGCTCTAACAAATAAATTTTTTTTTTTAAAATTTATACTTTATTTTATCTGTTTTTTCATTATATTTGTTTCTGTTTTTGATTCCTGCTGTTTCCAGATGGTGAAGCTCCAGGCATGTATCAAATTTTGTGAGGAGGATTATTCTGCTGCCAAGGTGAAGCTCGTTCCCATCGGCAGCCATTTTGTTCAGTGGTTTTCTCTGCGCTGACTCTCTGTCTGTCTCTTTGTGCTGATAGTTGCTCCTGGAGCAGCTGCCGCAGGACGACCCGGACTACGTCTACAACATGGGCTGCTTGCTCTACCACGACGGCAAGTATGAGGAGGCCGGCAAGAAGTTCATGTCAGCCATGCAGATGTTGGGATACGTCCCAGGTGATCAGCCAAACACACACAGGAAGCAGGAAACCTGTGTATCTCCGTGGTTTTCTTTACTTTATAAAGGATCTGATTGGTCTCCAAAAAAACTGTTAGGTTAATACAGCGAATGCGACCCAAATCCGACTTTTTCAGACACAAAAAAATCCAATCTGTTCCACTTCAAAATGTGGAACTAAATTGAATCTGATCGTTTTCAAAGCATCTCATCATGTTGCATTTTAACCGACTTTCACGTCACTGATGGGAGACGTGCGTCATATTTCTGCATCAGAAGAATCCAGATGGTAAATCTGAACATAAACAATGGATGAAAATGATAGTAATGAACTGATGAAAGCAGTGAACCACATCCCCACCACTGACCTCTGACCCAACATCCAGTTTGATTTCTCTATTAAGTCGATGCTCCACTGAAGGCCGATGCCATTTTGATCAGCTCTGACGTTACAACCGGTTTCTGTTGCTGAATTAACTGTGAATTGAGCCATAGACGGTGGCGGCCATTTTTACTGCTGTAAACGGAGTGCTGCTGAGTGATGTCGGTGTTCGGGTCACTTTGGGGTCGTCAACCGTTCACACAGAAGCCTGAATGCACTCTCATTTAATTAGTAGTTTGAACAACCACAGAAAAAATGGACCTCTGTCTGCAGACGTCTGTCCATAATGACCATAAATCTCCTGTTCTTCTTTGTTCATGTGTTTTCTGTGCCAGCGTTGTCCTACAATATCGCCCTGACCTACTACAGCATGAAGAACTATCCGCAGGCCGTCAAATACATCACAGAGATCA